CCTCGCAGAGTCAAAGTCGGTGGTAAGCGCAATTTGGCCATCATTCGCTCCGGCCAAGACTGGTCCGACACTCTGCCCGAGGAGCGTGAGCTCTATCTCAACACCATGCACCCTGTCCTAATCAAGGGAATGAACTTCCTGCGCGATCAAGGAGAGGAAGTTGGTTGTCACAGCTGCCGGTTCATGGATCTAATTGACCCCGTGACGGGCAAGGCCGATAAGGATCGCACCTTTGGATTGGCCTTCTTCGATGAACTGGGCTCACTCGAGGGATGGGCTAAGCAACACTCGACACATTTGGAAATCTTTGGAGGGTTCCTGCAGTATGCAAAGAAGCTGGAGAATAACGTGTCGCTCCGTCTGTTCCACGAGGTTCTGGTACTGAAACCTGAGCAGCAACTGTTCGAATACGTTGGCTGCCATCCAGGCACTGGTTTGCTGGCTATAGTTTAGTCGCATAATAGAGTCGAGATACCAAGCGTTGATTAAAGATACAAATGCCATTATTCCAGTCTCGGCGGGTGCTACAGGTGACGTAGCGGTCATAGGGATGCGTGCTGCCACAATGATGCATCTGATGTCTGAGAATCACACTATGCCTCTAGGTGCTTTCCTGAATCAAGTTAGGTTGACGTAGCTCTCTCGGGTGAGTGTCCCCCCTTATCGTGCGGATGTCACAGCTCCGCAAGCTCACAGATACTGTGGTTCCTAAATTGTCGGAATACCTACATCACATGAGTGATCTGTGGAATCAAAGATCCCTTGACATTTCCTAGCCGCATAAGACATTTCGTCCTAGGTTGGAGCGTGAATTTCTGTTGCGGTGCCCATCGCCAGCGCACCGCCGAAACCCGAACCCGATGATCCGGAGATAAGTGGGTCTCTGCCCGACAAGTGGGTCTCGAACCGGCCGGCCAGTTCGGGGTGATCAAGTGAGCTGAGAGTTCGGGCATAACGGGATGGAATAGCGAGGGCCCGGCAGCTCTTCCCTTACGGCACTTCTAGAAAACCCTGGCGCCGCCAATCACCATGCTCCAGTCATATTAAGGTGCGGGTGCTCCTTTGTGGGACAAGTTCAAATCAATCCTGCTAGAAGGCGCGTTGCGTCGATGACGGCTCTCGCACAACGGGAAAGACTTGCACTACTATGTGTCTCAGAAATAACAGAGTTCCTGTTACTAAGTATTATTCTAGTTCCGAGGCTTCTAGACTGATACTTTGCTGAAAGCCTCCTTTCCCTCATACTCTGTTATTTTCAAGTCCGGTTCATTCCTGAAGAAAGCAGTAGCGCCAAGCGAGATGCGGTCAATTTCAACAGAATTCTCCTTCTCAGGGCCTTTGAAGATGTGGAAATCACGCTAAGCCCTTCTTTCCTCGTCCACGGGGGAGAGACTGGGGTAGATGCTTCTTCACCCTCAGCCCGAGGGGGCAAGACCTTTCGGCAGGCAGGGCTGGAAAATGACTGCATTCAGATCGTCAGCAAGCTAGAAGAACGTCGAAAGATGTTGACCGGACTCATTTCAAACTCATTTACTTCTGCAAAAGTCCGATCAAACCTTGGACAAGCTCACGGTCAAGTCACTTCTAGCTCCTAAGGTCGAGACAAGGGCTTGGATTGACTACCTGTCCGCATGTTCAACAGCTGAAGTTAAGGCGTTTAGTTTGAAGGACGAGGTTCCGCACGCCACGAGTTCCTTCTTAGTTGCTGGGCTCGGTCATGTGATTGGTCCGTTGTGGCCAGTCAGTGATGAGATTTCTGTCGAAGTTGCGAGGGTGTTCTAGGTGTTCTTGAGTAGACCCAGAACTAAGCCTGTGTCGCCTGATAGGCTTGTTGCCGAAGCACTGAGGAGCGCCGTGCTTGAGATTCGTACCCGTTATGCCGACAATGCCGATATTTGGGGCCCATACGTACACTATGGTGCATAACGGGCCGTGTTTATTGTGTATCCATACAGGAATCGAAATCAGCCTTTGCCCTCAAAACACATTTTTGGGAACATTTGTTTTCTTTTACGATCTGATTTAGCCATTGATTTGAAGCATCATGGTATGGTCCATCCAGTCAAATCTTGTTCAAGTTCCAGCTGCTATGTCTCCGAGATACATCCAAAACTTTGTACATTGCCAGTTGATAAGATACGTGTCTTAATTTTCCAGTTGATACTCAGAGTTTGTCACCCCTGAGAACTTAACAACTTTCTCTCAGGTTCAGTTACAACAGACTAGAGACGGAATGGCCTTCTTGTATCGTTGAGAAGCAGGGAGACACGTTATAACATATCAGTATCCTGACAGAGAGCAGCTTGCCTTGGACTTGCCTGGTTCCTCCTCCTTGCCGTGAAGCCTACCATCTCCACACTCATGATCCATAATACATTACCCGTTCAGTTCAGCAACGCACGATGAATTACGTAATCCCCGATAGCACAATTGGCTAGCGCGTCAGACTGTTACGATTGAGGTTGTTCACTACGAGCAAAAGAAATAGATATCTGGAGGTTGGTGGTTCGAGCCCACCTTGGGGAGTTTAATTGCTTTTTATAGTTTTTTACCACTGTTCATCAGATTTCTAGTAAATGACAATATACGATTACTTCCATATTAGGATTTCTTCCGCTTGCAGTATCCTTTTGAGTCGTTCCCATAAAAGTACTGATAGATAATTCCACCACTCTGAAAGATCACTTTCCCTCAGTGGTGCATGAATAGAATTCGTCATGCGCAGTCAGGCAACAATAATAGCATTATGAATAAGTCAAACCCCCCACTTCCTGGCACCCCCCTGTTTCTGGCACCCACAAAAACGATGGGATCACAACCCAACCTCCTCATTACTATTAACTATTGATCCTCAACCACACCCACTACAATACAACTGCCAGCCTCACTAGGGCATTCAGAGTCGCTGGATTCAGCCGTAATAACCTCCTTTTCACCCGCTTCGATTTGAGCCCGATGGATATCCCTGATGTTCGCAAACTTCGTGTTGGGATCGATCTGAACAGTCTTCCTCTTCCTAACTGCAGCGTTGGTAACTTGAGCCCTCAGGTGAGCCAGCTGCTGCTGGGCAGCTGCCAGTTGCCAGGCCTGCTCTGTGAAGCCTTTTTCACCTTCCTGAACAGCAGCCGTTGAGTGCTGGTATCATTGTCGAGTTGTGTATAAGTGCAGTTGACCGCTGAGCTCTGCCAGCTTCCTGGGTGTCGACCAGACCACTGCAGAGGAAGCAGAATCCCATGGCTCAACAGGGGTAGTTTGTTGACCATTATGGCATCGCTTTTTGCCCCGACTGGTTGGTTTGTGGTGGGCTTAGCAGAAGGCTCAGGTAATACCATAGGGTTCATCAGGGCTTAACCATCGCTACAGGGTGTAGACCAGTCCACTTCCAACCACTTCTGATGTTCGAGACTGATAGACCAGCAAGTCGAGCCTTCTGGTAACAGTCCAGGAAGTTCCTTTTACCTATAATGGTAGAGTCGTTCCATTGAGACAAGTAACCGAGCTCCTTCCGATAGGCTGACTTAACAGGGCTGAAGACAGACTGGTCAAGTGGCTGGAGGACATGAGGAGGTGGTAAGAACAGTAAATGGATATTGTTAATATAGCAATTCCACATGAAGTCTGTCGTCGTATGACTCCATGCCCATCCACAATCAACAGTCGAGCCTCGCCCTCAGCCTCGGGCATAGTCTGTGGGATAAACACCTTCTCTAACCATTCAATGGCAGTTAAGTCTGTAGTCCAGCCATTATCTGTTGCTGTAAACTCCCACCCATCGTATGGAACCAGATGTAATGGAAACCACTGTTGTTGGACCGTCTTCCCTTGAAAATGATAAGAGGACGAAGTGCCCTACCCAAGGCTGAGATACACTCAATGATAGAGACCCATGCCCTCGACCCAGGTTGTTTCTTGCGAACAGACGTCGTCTCAGCCATGCCCAGCACTAACCCATTAGCTCCTGACCTCGAGGATGCCAGTCTCATCCATATTATATCTGTTGGCTGGTTTGATGTCCTTGATCTCAGGGATAGCAAGGAACTTAAACCAGTTCCTAATGACCTCAGTAGATGCCCCATTAACGCGTCTAGAATCGATGGAACGACTTCTCTGAACCTTAATGATAGGGTTCCTTCTCACGAAGGCATAGATCCAGCCTTTTCCTAATGGTTTGGTATCCCCAGCAGCAGCCAGAACTCGCTCTGCGAATTCCTTCACCTGTTGGTGCGTTGGTGCGAGGCCCAGCGAAGCCTGAATGCGAACCCATTGTGCCAGCTACTCTCCTGGTCAGGAGACAGCCTCTGCCAGTCAGCAAAGCCACTTTCCTAGTCTGACCACCTTGGAGACGTAGTTGGAGGGTTGATCGTGGTATCCCATACCCAATGAGGCTTCTCTTTTGACTCTTGCCGTTTGAGATGTCCTCGAGAGCCTGACAAGCTGATCTTCGGTATATTGAGGCATTAGATATAGAAGAAGGTATGTGCAAAAAGAGCCCATTTGGACTCAATTGAAAATGTTGTGATAAAAGGAGGTTGGGGGTGGGCATTGCGTTGTGGTGGATTTTCGCGTTTTTGTGGGTGCCAGAAACAGGGGGGTGCCGGGAAGTGGGGGGTTTGACTTATAGCATATTGAACATGTAAAGTATGGTTGTATGGTTGTACAAAGATGCTTCTGACTGAACCCGCTATAAGGACATTGGAGTCTGGGATTCATGAATGCGCAAAGGGTCCTTTAGCAGTGGTAGCCTACATGTAAGTTGAGTAGATAACTTTACCCTATCTATGTGAACAGCTTTTGGCCCGAGGTAAGTCACATACGTGCACACGCGTTTAGTTGATTGAATTCAATGCTAGAAGTCGGGACAGATCATGCAAGAATAAGTAAGGTAGTCATGCGATTCCGAAATTTATATCAACCTTCCTAGATGCACAAGACCTGGTCGAATTCCATCATTGCAATCTCGAATTGTAATACCAAAATATCATGTAGATGAAATACTTAGACTAAGGACTCCTCGATTTCACGGAGTCCAAAGTACGAACCATAACTCCCACGTTGCGACAACCTGAGTTGCGCAAGAACTGCATACACGCAAGGAACTGGCGCTCATCTCTAACCCATAGGTTTTCATTGATAATCAAAAATTCCTCTTTTTCGATAAATCCCACCCCGAAGTGCTCATCGTTGCTTAAGATCTCAATCAGCTTTCGCCAGGAAGGCTTCTGTGACGTATCCACGATGTCTTCCAGGACCACAAGTTCTCGCCTCTGAGGGTCGTCAGCACGTTCGACATTGAACACGAACTCTGCAGTGGGGTGTTGATCGCTAGAAGCTCGTGAAGGTAATATGATTGTCTGCCCGGGGCGTTTTCCCTCACTTTCTGTGGGAGGTGTCTCTTGGTCTATCTCAAGGGAGACGCCTGCATGGTCGTCACTATAACCGTCCTCAGATGGCTCTAATGGAGGCTCTGGTAATGAATCAGGCGGAAAAGGCGCATCGGATGCGTCCAGAGACTCTGCAGGACTGAGGGGCCTGTAATCAACGAGACCTGTTAAGGACACCCCGGCGGTAGAATCTAGCTGGAAAGCTCTGGCACTGCCAATCCGGCTCTGAAGTTCTCGTCTAGCTGTTGCTTCCATTTGAACACACAAATTGGTGACAATCTTTTTGTATGTCCTGTACGCTTTTGCGTCGGATGTCGGTGGGGATCTCCATGCCAAGTACAGCTTCTGGTGGCAGGAAGATACAGAGAAGGATACCGGGTGGTCTTGGAGGAATCTATGACACAAGAAGCAACTCTTCTTACTGACACCCATGAACCGAAACGAGGGCATAAGCTCAGGATTTTGGTCGTAAAAACCGATAAGTTGCATCTCAGCATGAACAGCGAGGTCAAGACGACAGGCCTTCCGAAAGCGCGGCTCTGGATCTGTGACACACCAGATTGTAGCCAATCTCCTCGCGAATTCCTCTTCTTGGTCTCCAGCGATTCTCCGTAGAACATCTCTCAAAGGCCGTTCGCCTTCTGCAATAGAAAATTCAAGCCTTGAGATGGGCTGGATAGGTTCTATTCGCATCGGGCAAAAGAGGGCGGGGAACTCTGCTGGAAGCTTACACAACGCTAGTGCTGCGACGCCGTATCTCCCCAGCTTGTAGATACTGTATATCCAAGAGGGCACTGGTATGCTCTGAGCAGAGAACAGAGCCTCGATACAGGTGGAAAGTTCCCATTTGGCTTTTTCTGCCCATAAAACGTAAGGCAAGAGCTCTGATGGAGGCGCTCCGGTTGCAATGGTTGTGATCGCACTAAGTTTTCCCATCCATGCAGTGAACCTTTCGATTTCGTTGACCTCAAAGGTGGATGAAAGCTTCGGCAAGAACTGCTCAAGCCTCAAAACTTCTGATCTATGTTTCCGGAGGTCCGCAAAATAATACCAGATTTTGGCCTTGTCGAGACTGATCATCTTCAGCAGGACACTCCGTCTCCGCTCATCCGTGAGACCTTGCCTCAATGTCAGTATGAGTCTTCTAACACAAATCAAGAGACACTATTTACCCATAGCAGATACGGCATGAAGAATTTCCATCACTTCCCGAAGAAGGACCAGTGTCGATGCGGACACCCCAGCATTACTAGCGATGCGAATGACTGAGCCTTCAGGCGCTCCTACCTCTAAGGTGGCCGCCGATACTGTGTCGCCATCTTTGTGGGTTGAAGCTAGTAGAGCGAAAGAATCGAGAAACTTTCGCTTTAGCAACTCTTCTCTGGAAACGCCCGCGTCATGAGGGTGTCGATCCAGGCCGTATGCCGTCGGACTACCCCTCACTGGGTCTAGCTTGTGAAGCAAAACGGCGTCTTGCACAAACCGTTTCTGTAAGTTTCCAGTGATTTCTAGGTTCATGACTATCCGTCGATTAAACTTGTGGAATACTCGTGATTACCAAAAGAGAGAGGAGGTTCAATGCGTTCGATAATTGATGTCGTTGTGTAGCGTGGATGATGGCTATCCCTCATATAAGCTGTGGAAGCAGGTTTTGCATTTGTTATTGGAATCTTTCCTTTGCTTGTAAGCATAGCCTTTATATTTTTTCTGTGCCATATGATATCAACAGGCTTCAACCAATCGCAACAACTGATGCTCGTCATTCTGATCAGGAGGGTTGAGTGGCCGGCAATAATTCGACGACCCCAGCTGCATTTGTCTTGACCCTACCGCTTGTCCTATCCGCCTTGTTTTCATCTCTCATCGGCTGTTGGTCTACACTGCAGGCGCCTTGCATGCAATAGTGTGTCCAGACGTTGCCGCGTCAGAGCTTACAGGCTGAGATATGAAAGGTTCGACGGCCTCCTGCATATGCCAGCAACTAAGGCCACAACCTACCCCGCTAGCGTGGTTTTGCTTGCCAACCATAAAGGAACAACCCGTATTCATTTGAGCATGTATGTACGTCAGAGACTCTGAGGATAAGGTACCGCGCAGGCCAGTCATGTAAAACACACCGGCTTCCCATTCGCAGGTGCCCAAATGCCTGAATTACCAAAAGCCTGTGCACACATGTCGGAAAGGTTGGTCGTTGAATTGATCCTAAATCTCAGTATCCCTGTCTGTCAAGGTCTATCTGATTGAATGAAGACTTGCAAGTGGTTTACAGCACGAGGCTGGGTACAACCGAGCGGTGATATCTTTCGAGTACGACTTCAGCGAGTTCTACCTCATTGGCCAGGGGCCAAGAGCAGAGCGAACTCTCGACTTGGTCAAGGACTTGGGATGGGACGCTCAGAAGGTCGAGGGATACAGGTCTAAAGGCCCTGACAGCAGTATCTGCACAACGACTGGCAAGCCGATGTTGGGCGTGCACCTGAACAGCGGCTTGATGTATCTGGCTACCGCTTCCCGTCAGCTTGAGCGGCTCGATTTGAAGGAGTCTGTGAGATTTGCGGCGACTTCGGGCGTGATCCAGTGGATGGATGGATTGTCGATTTGGGCTGGCAGTCGGCGTGATGGGGCTCATGTGACATAGCATCGTCTTCCACAAGCACCAGTCTTCGACGTCAGCAGTCATTAATGCACCAAAAGTCTTTAATTAGACCCTATTTCGATCATAGGCTTTGCATCGAGGACTACGAGAACAGAACATTCCATCATCAGCCCATTTGTCCTCACAAGTACCACCTACCCCTGAGTCAAGACCAAATTTTGTATCAAGACTGTCTCCATGTCACTGCTTAGAAGTCACTCCAAGATCAAGACCCAACTTTGTCATGGGTGGTTACATGAGCAGAAGTGCTTGATATTCTACCCAGCTGTCGCGATATCGGAACAATCCATGATGATCATAGCCTGCTCCTGGCAACGGCGTTTGAGATAACCTAGCGTATGCATGGTAAAGGAAAACTTCCAGCGAAAGAAAAGCCACTGGTCCCAGAAAAAAAAAGTTGAAGTCGAACTTCTATGGCCTCATCGAAAGACAACTTCAGTCGGGGTTATGCTCGTCTAATTCCAGCTCCCTCCGGGGGCCGGAAGTTCGTTCGTAGCCCACATATTCTTAGAAATAGGTTCAGGCTGCCCAGTTCTCTTATAGCGAAATGCAAATCTTCCTTGGAAGCTGATGACCTTTTACGAATCACATAAAAGTGGGTGAGGGCATTCTTATTAGCAACGATTATTCTTAAGATGTTTCACCTGGTGAAGCCAAGCTTGGCATCCCAACACCTGCCCCTCGAGGCCCAGAAAGGAGACTCTGGCCAAGAACATAGCATGACTCGCTCGATTGCGCGCGGCATATTTGACTAGACCTCGTACGAGACTGTCGGCATACTCGGCTTTCTGTTGAGCATCCCGCTGGCCGTCGGCGTCCGGCGGCCAGACGGCAGTTCCCTGCCGATGCTTGATCCATAGACCCGCGGGGAGACGAAATGGGCCGAATAGCTCAGTTACATGTCATTAAAACTTCAACGCGGCTGGCGCAAGCCTAATGTTCGTCTCGTATTGAATGATTGAACACCACTACATGATCATTCATATCTGACTCAAAGGAAAACTTGTCTTGGCCTTATTCCGTCTTTCTACTTCGCCTTATCTTCAACATGTCCCTGGAAATCAACTAGTTTCAGTCAACGCTGGAAGTTAACTTTCGCGAGTTGAACTCTTTGACGGGTGAATGTGTTCCATATACTTTGTTCACATACCAGGCGAGATTTATCAACTTGACTTCTAATAAGGTTGCGGAGGATTCTTTTTCGTCAAGAGGGGAAATGCCACGCGGTGGTCAATGGTCTTTAAATAGATCCGAGCGTCAACTTGATGAGGATGGCTTAAACTTTATCACTGCCCTAGCGAACGAACGCAGCCGATCGGATGGGATGGCCCCACAAGGCTCATAGATGAAACCATGACAAGCGAGGAGGTCTGGTGAGAACGATACTTATCAAACTCAGGCAATATATCATAATTCTAGGCCTGCGAGGCCGGCCAGGCCTACACAGCCGCTTCTCTGAGCTGCAAGAAGGGGTTCCCTAGTATTGAGTCAAGTTGGTGACTCTGAGAGAGCTGTTTGCATGACGATGTAGGCGAACCGTCGCAACTTTATTCGCAGTGTGCCTGAAAACCCCCGTTGCAACTTGATCATATCCTTTGCGTCAGTTACAGCGGACCGACCGATCTGGTGAGTTGTTGGTAGTCCAGGTGGTTTGACTGACTATGAACGTGATCTGCCATCATGTTCGGATGATAAAACGAACGCCGGCTGCCCTACGGGGCGTTGGGGCTCTGATTTGTTTGGTCAGCTTCGGCCGTTCCTTCTTTCAGTCACTCTTTTGACCGTAACCTATAACCACTCATTTGACTCCCTTGCGTTATTTATTTAAGTCATTCTCAGCCTTGATCATGGTGAAATCACGGAACTCTCTTTGGGGTGTCATTGGGGCCATTGGTTTACTAGCAGTTGGAACCAATGGCCAGACAGACAACACGGTTGAATGGGTTAACTTCCTCCCAGGACCACCACTCCTCAATATCGCAAGAAGGATAATGGAACTGACAAAAGCCGTCTGTAATACAGGCTCTCGGAATGCCGCTCAAGTTCTTTGCTACAGCCGAAAATACACCATCATGTGCTGCAAGCCTTCAAGACGCAACGGGGGATGCCAAAACGTTCACACCAGTTCAATCTAATACTGACACGGTGATGGCGGGTGGCACGGCTGTCGACCTAGCTACCACTTTCTACTTGACAAACGGAATATTGGCTGGTGGTAAATCTTTCACCGATCCCTCAGGGATCAGAGTTGCCAGAGGAGGCTCCGGTGGTGGTTGCTGGGATATCTCTAGCGGTACTGTCAAGGTTGCTGCATGCGATCTGGCCAAGAACCAGACATTTTATGTGAGTTGAAGTCTTCACTTGCTTGAAGTAGGAAGAGTTTCCCTAACATAAAGTTTCATCAGGTTGGAATTCCCGGAGACAAGCAGCCCTTCTTTATCTACTCCTCGACACTAGGTGCCCTCGAGAGGCCCGCCACCGCCGGTGATGCCCTTACCTTCCCTTCAGCCAGCCAGACGCAGTTTTGCGCGTACGCCAACGATACTGAAAAGCTCGTCATTCCTCCTACCACGGGGACTATGTACTACCCGCAAGCGCAGTTGACAAACCTCACATCCACCTCATTCGGCACCACCCCGCCAGCATCAGAAGGCGATATCCCTCAGTGCAGATTCGCCGACCAAGGCAACACGTCAACATCCATGCTGGAGAGTATGGGTTCTACCGACTGCATCGTTGCACGTTCCTTTTCTACCATCCCCAGCGGCTGCGATGCCAATCCTTCTAACAAGACTTGTATCCTTCACTTGTGGCCTGCCTTTTGTCTGGATCTTCCTGAAGTTCGCACTGGAGCCAACGCGTCGGATGCGCTTGAGGTTTGCGTGAGGAAGATCAGCCAAGGACCTTGTGTTGCTAATCCCTCAGGAGCCGCTTGCGCTTCTAATTTGTTCGCTGGGATCAAGTACGTTGGCGGTGTTGGTGGTGGGGGCGGTAGTGCGAACTCGAAGCGCCAGACTTCAAATGATCCTCTGTTTGGAAACCCCGAGTCGAATATTCCTCTTGAAGACCAATTCTGGATGGGTAAGTTGTAACTGATTTTAACACCAAGAGAGCCGCAGTCACTGATACGAGGCTTGCTTCAGGCGTGATGAAGAACGTCATCAACTCAGCTATCGGTGCTTTCAAATTTCTAGCCACGCCTCATGTCCAAGAGCTCAAGGTTACATGTATGGGCATGAGCCATCTTACCAGCATCTTTGAGGCGAGCGTCGGAAAGACCATTCGAGAGGGTTGCAGAGACGCATTCAGAGCCTTTGATGTAAGTGAATACACACTCAGGCCTCGAGGAAAGCCCCAGCCGAGTGCTTCTGCTGACGTCTTGCCAAACAGAGCATCCACGAACTCACCTACGACAACGACATTGAAAAGGCTGGCAGCATCTTTGCCGATGTCGTGGGACTCTTAAGTGTGGCCAAGGACGTCGCAACAGCAGCGAAGGCCGTCGGTGCCGTGGACGCTGTACTGGCCAAGTTTGGCAAGACTGCCGCAACTGTTGGCGAAGGCAAGGGGCTCATGCTGGAAGCCAAGGAGGGCGAGAACACCGTGCAGATCTTCCGTGATACCGGCGATGGAAAACCCAAACTGCTGTACACGGATAGCGACGTTGCTGCCATGGAGAAATCCATCGAAGAGGGAGGTGAGTCTAAGCATCGCCGACTTTAGTCCAATTGATCCCGCCCCAGAGCTGACCTCGTCAGGATTCGACAATTGCAAAATCTGCATCGAAGGAGGCGGTGCGAAGATCCGCCGCCAAAAGGGCATCCTGCGCAAGTTCTGTTGCTTCTTGAGTCCCCAGACCCTGGAAGCACCAGAGCCCGTTTGGAACGACCAGACCGGCCTGGCAACCGGCCTCGGCACATCTGAAGCCATCCCCTTGGCCAACCGCGTCGTCGCCACTCTCTCCGAGACCGCAGCCCTCACAGCTGACGAGAAGACGCTCATTACCACCATGAGCGAGGGCTTTGCCAACTGGTACACTAAGGCGCAGTCCGTCTCCGCAAACGTCGATGAGATCAGCGCCGTGCTGCTCGAGGCAAGGAAGAAGACCGCCGACTGGGGCAAGATCGCCACCGCGACGTCCAAGGCGTACGGTCTGAGTGACCAGGAGAAGTGGGCTCTCAAGACCTGGATCCAGTGGTACATGATCAACCCCGAGTTCAACAACGCCTTATCAAAGCTTCCTTCTGCTACTGGCTTAGTCGTACGCTCGACTGATCTTGATGCTGCGACGGTCAACATGCTCAATAAGCTTGAGTCTGGTGTGATTAGCAAGGGAAAGGCAGGCATCTACGAGGTTCAAGGTTAGTTATGCTGATATTCTACAGTGCTTCAATGTTTGTAGTCGCTAACAAGTCGTAGACCTCGTTCTCAACGTCAACACCCCTTCAGGCGGCACCGGCGAAGTTCGCAAAGTCATGGCGACGACCCTCAACCTCGGCGACGGCATGTTCACAACCACAAAGGACTACCTCTTCATGATCAACTCCAAGTCCGGTCGCTACATTGAAGCCGTTGCCAACTCGGAATACCGAGAGACCTCATTTGTGCAAGGGATTTCCGGGAAGTTCAAGCTCATCGGCAAGCAAGAGTTGAACGGGGGAGAAACCGCCAAGGCGGCGGGCAAGCCGGGTCCTTATGCCGTCTATTAGTGAGTAAATTGACGTCAAGGTTTCAGCTGAAGATCCCAAGGCTAATTAGGGAAAAGCTTTGATGAGGTCGAGGCACCAGCTTCAACTTCGAAGGCTACTGTCGCGGACGTCAGAAAAGCCCTGACTGATGAGGGTGTCACATTATCTGGAGGCTCTGCTAAGCGCGGTCTCGATGGCCTACTAGACGCACTTGAAACAAGAGTTGTTGGCTCTGGGAAGAAGAGGCATGGCTTGGATTATCACGTCCGCAACCGCGTTGTCCGTCATTGAGACAACGGGTTCGTGCGATGATTGTGGGCTGTGGGTAATAACTAGGTGGCTTCGTGTACATATATCAAAGTCACTTCTGACCACTTCCTTACATTTCTATCGAGAACAGCATGACAATATATGACTTAGCAGCACTGCCAGAGCATACAAGTGTAGAGTTCATCATCCCAGTGGTGTCATTATTCTCGCTCCAAAGTTTGCTTGCGGATCACCTTATTCGGTTGACAGCAAGCCCGGTATTTTCCCCTTGCTCCCATTGAGAGCTGAGCACGTGATAATATTTGCTGAAAGCTCTCCCGGTATCTTCTTGGCCAAATCCCAAACTTCCTTTCGCTGATAATGTCTTGCCAGTGACTCAACTTGATCTTCAGCGGCGGACACCTTGGTCCATAGTATTGACTGCAAGCATGTACAGCTGCAACTTCTCTGACCAATCAGGCCCAAAAGTCATCAGGACTTCTTGCATGACTCTTGTATCAGGCGAACGTCCAACCCCAACCTTCTGCCTGACTTTGTCCTGGATCTCCCGCACTGCCTTCAACGTCTCCAGTTCCGCCTCGCTCGCCGGTCGAAGCGCACGAGTGGGAGGCTTGGTTCCGGCGTCATCAAGTTCTTGTCTTACGTACATTGGGGAGCCACGAGGGGGATCAACCAGGACCTCCAGTCTGACCCTCTCCAATTCCTTCTTCTCGCTAGCAAACGTCGGCCCAAAGAGAATTCGCAAGTATTCAGGCGTGTCCTTGCCAGCGATGACGAGACGGCGCAATGGCAAATCCATGCCTGGCCGAACTGAGACAGGATCGATGTTAAGTGAGCGCAACAACGCCTGCCCCTCCTCAGATTTTCGCGCCACAATGTTGTAATAGTTGTATGCGGGGCCCATGCCGGACGACGTAGCCGTGGAGGGGGCTGGAACCGGGCGGTGAGCGACACATGTCGGCTTGTGCGTCTTCCAGTGCGAGCGCTGGCAGTCCTGGGAATGATACCACGCCTTCTGACACGCAGAGCACTTCTTCATCGGCGAAGGGAAGTTTTCGGAGGATAGGCCACAACCGTGGCACTTGGATGAGTTCCCGGGTGACACGGCGGACGGAGCTGTGGTCGCGGTTCTGGGCCTGCGAGCACCCATAAAGTTCATCATAAGGTCCCTGACCTCAGACCAAGTTTCTCCGAGAATCTCCTTTTCTTCAGCAGTGCAAACGGTCACCTTCTCAAGACCACCCAAGATTCCTGCTGCAGCCAGCTCTGGCGCGATAGCGGCAGCGAGCTCGGAACTGTCTGTCGACCAGCTCCAGGGAGCAAACGCGGCATGTTCAGCACCTGGACTGCCTTTGAAGAAGGCCTGTAGAAGAGGAGTCACAGTCGCCCTGGCTCTATCCTGCTCGGTAGGCTGCGAGAGGATCTGAGCCGGGCCGCCCTGCAACAGGAATCGGCTTTTTGGGTGCACGGCGATTACGAGATCTCCAGGCGGATTGAGGTCGACGTGTCGGACACCAAACACCCATTTGTTGTCGAGACCTGACGGCGTTGTCTTTGAGCGACCGAGAGTCTTGAAGTCCCTCACCGCTTGCTCCATTTTGCGGGCGGGATCAATACGATGGTGCGTTTGTCTAGTGTGGTAGTTATTGAACGATGACCTGGTGACCAGAGAGAAAATCAGCAACCCACGTTTATGAATGTCATTTACACAAAGAGCTTACCTGAATGCTGTTTGTCGATTGCGTAGAAAGCAAAATGGAGAGGTTGTAGATGGCAGGGACAGTGCTGGGGGCGGGGGGTTAACAAACCCAAGGTTCAGGAAAGTTCCATTCGAGCCCACGGATATTCGAAGCTCGGAACGGGGAACATTCCTCCGAAACGCGTTGGAGGGGATGTTCTTGCCTCGTTCAAGTAGGTACCTTATGAACGGGATCTTGCAGGAAAGTGCTAAGAGTGTCGACTTCCTTCTCCTCCAAGACTTGGAGAGACAGCAGCCACGCTCGGCCATACCTGCCTGCCCCTGTTTGCAACTCAAGATGCCGGACACTTCAGTGGCATCGCCTCTGATTGGTGCGCGGAGCGAGCCGGACGAACATCGGGAAAAAAGAATAGGCGAGACGGTGTGGCTGAGGGGCAGTGTTGGATCCTTGAGGCTATCGAGACACCTGTACATTGCGAACTCTTTCCCACATTAAAGAAGTCATCGGAGTTTCTCGGTTACGGGACCATAACGCTCAATACTTATCATAACTTTGCGCCTCTACTTACAGCTGCACCAATTTCCTGCCGAACAGCCAAATCCGTGATGATCTCCTCACTGCCGCCGCCGACGATGTTTACTCGAAGGTCCCTGCTGATCTGTTCGACTCGAGCCCCAACGCCGCCACGCTGATACCCAGCACCACCAAATATCTGTTGTGCGTCTCTATTTGCGAGCTCTAGAAGGCGTCCGCCGTGAATCTTGGCCATGGCGATCCTCGATGCAAGTTCCGTGCCCATGGAGCCGGTAGTATGAGCATGATACGCAATCTGCTCGAGCCAGGCCCAGTGCGACTCAATGTAGCGCGCCATTGTGATGAGCTTATGTCGAATGATCTGATGATACATGAGTGGCTTGCCGAATGTGTGACGGTCTATGGCATATGCCCAGGCGTCTTCCAGGCAAATTCTGGCCTGGCCGTTCATGAGTACAGCAAGGATGAATCGTTCCTTGTTGAAGTCTGTTTGTTCAGTATTGGAGCCAAGGTACATATCATCTTCTCACAGGGGCACCTACTGGTCATAATGTACTGAAACCCAGCATTCTCCTGCCCGATGAGGTGATTGGCGGGTACTTTGACATTGTCCAGTGTCACCCATGTGCTGTCTCCAGCGTTCCATCCACTGTTACTAATCTTGCGTCGAGAAACACCGGGAAGATCAAGAGGAATGACCAGGACTGAGATACCCTTGATTCCAGGGCCTCCAGTCCTTACAGCAGTTGTCATGTGGCTGGCACGTATCGCACCGCTGATCCATTTCTGAAGGTCTATTAGTCTCAAGTCTTGAGCATTGAAGAGAAGCTGAAGTCCATCTGTAGAGTTTATGGTATCTTAGCTTACCTTGTGGCCGTTGACGGTGTAGTATGTTCCATCATCTGACCTGATCGCCGTGGTCTTCAAATTCGCCAAATCGGAGCCGCCTTCACGCCTTTAATCACGATACTCTCGAAAGATGCGTCCAACAAAACTCACCAGTAGGCTCAGTACAGCCGAGACAAAAGCTTGTTTTGCCGGTAATAAGTCCAGGAAGCCACCATCTCTTCTGCTCTTCTGTGCCATGATGGATGACAGGAGGTACGCCGATTGTCGTGCCGCCGTTGAGTCCCACAGATACTCCGGCAGCCCATATTCTACTAGCTTCGTAGCTTACAACAAGCGAGTGAAAGATATCCCATTCTAGGAATGATGTCAGAAGACGGCTTCACACTGAAGCTTCGTGCTTACTCTCAGCTGGGACATTGCCTGGTAATGGAACATCGCCAGCATATTGACGCGGCAACTCTGGGAAAGCCAAGCCTGACTTGGCAAAGTGAACTCTGGCTTCATCGGGGACATGTCCCTTCTCTTCCCACTCCTGGATATTAGGTGCGATATTCTCCTCGATGTACTTGCGCACGTAGTCCCTCACCATCCGATGGCTTTCATCGTAGTAAGGAGAAGCCAGGGTATTGTACCACGCCGGCTCCGCAAAGGGCGCAGGGTTGCCGTATGGCTCAACGACGGGAACATTCTTGACTTTGATTGACATTGTCTCTATTCAACTCTGGCTCGATTTCTGCCCAGCATTCTTGTGAAAGCTATGACTCTTGTCCATCAGTTTCCTAAAATACATGTGCGGCCCGGTGCACGGTTCGGGATGAGCCGAGGTCCGTCTTGGATACAGCCGCTTGCCCCGCGCCATCCACGTAGCTTCTTGTCACGTCTCGTTTCTTACCCCGCGCTCCCGCGCTTGGGGGTATCGGGGAAAAGGGGGCTTAAATTGTTAGACAGCATTGTTAGACAGCCCTTAGTGATCCGGATGTGCGATGCGGTCGGACTTTGTTACCTTTTGGCACGACTCGCGTCGGTGTTAGGTAACAGCGACAACACTTGAGGCACAAGCTGGCACGGCTTGGTGTCTAAGGCCTAGGTTTCGGCCGCAAGGAAGCAGGTAGCACCTTCTTTCCAGCTGAAATGCTGTTGTTTCTGCAGGCCAGACCCTGCCACTAGCTTCGACGGGGGAAGATGCCAAAGTGAAGGCGATTTGGGTGCTTTTCTGCGAAAAAGCATCTTGGACACTGGATCGCAATGCGGCAGGTGAAATCGATGCTTTGTGACAAGCTCCAAACAAACCCACTTGATGGTCGACTTTGTCTACTGGTGTTGCATCAAGAATGGGACTCTTCAAACCCAAGGGTCGGCTGCGGAGGAACCCTTGATGTGACATCGAAGAATGCAAACGCCACGTATCATATGATGGAGCATCCCAGCCATGGACCGGAGAGATGTCTGTGACAGCCAAGCGCCCTCCTACAAGCGATTCGTTCTCGTGAGTTCGAGGAACACATAGCTTCACATCTCACGATACACCTCAAACCAAAAAGGAAATACCTCCTTCTCTTATTCTCGGCCTCATTATCTGAAAGAAGTATGTAAAGCCTCGGACTCGGCGAGTCATTTCGGGTCTTCGGCTTCGTGTTTGACGTCAGTGGTAGGACCTCTCCCTGTTCA